CGTACTTTATTTTATCTTCATGGTAAAAATGGTTACCGAATGCTATTTTTGTGTGAAAATTTTCGATTTTATAATTGACATTTTTTACTTTAAAGTGCTATAACTTTTTAAAAAATGTATGGATCAACACAATATTTTCATGAGAAGTAGTATTTATATACATCTTNCAATATTTTCATGAGAAGTAGTATTTATATACATCTTTCATTGAATATACTTTTTTTTTAAATCAGACTATTTCCCTATATATGGGGGGGCTTCAAATATAAAAAATGCATATAGAAAGTAGAACTTTTTCAACTTAACTTTTGAAAATGTTCCGGAAGGTCTGACACTTTTATATATGTCTTAAATTGAAGCTTATGTAATATCCTTTAATTTGAAAAAAAAAAGTTTGAACTCTGGACTTTTCTTCACGGCGAAAATGGCTACCAAATGCTATTTTCGTGTGAAAATTCTCGATTTTATTATTCATATTATATTTAACTTTATAATGCTATAACTTATTGAAAAGTTTATGGATCCACACAATTTTTTTATGAGAAATAATATTTTTTAATAAACCCTTTTTCATTCGACATACTTTATCTTAATCGAGACACCAATATTTTTAAAATTAAACACTATCTAAAGATTTGCATCGAAGCGTTTATTTTTGATAGTGATTTTAATCACTGTCAGATATCATTATACTTGATCCAACTATGCCACGTCACAACTGTGCCGCGACCNACCACGTCACAACTGTACCGCGACCCTCCTGTGCTGGGTTTTTATCTTTATAATGCTATGACATATTGAAAAGTGTATGGATCAACATTATTTTTTTATGAGAAATAATATTTTTTAATAATCCCTTTTTCATTCGACATACTTTATCTTAATCGAGATATTAATAAGGAACCAGCAGATCAAGTAGCTTTTGGAATAAAACACCAATTTTTTTAAAATTAAACACTATCTAAAGATTTGCATCGAAGCGTTTATTTTTGATAGTGATTTTAATCACTGTCAGATATCATTATACTTGATCCATCTATACCACGTCACCACTGTGCCGCGACCCCCCTGTGCTGGGTTTTTTTTTACTTTAAAGTTGTATAACTTTTTTCAAAAATGAACATATCAATATAATTTTTTTTTTTTATAGATCCTTGATGTCTTTACCTATCATTTGGTATATTTTTTTTGTAAATTTGACCTTTTTTCTGCCCACAGGGGGGGATTTAAAATGACAACTTTTTCACAGAAAATTATTTTTTTCAATTTAACTTTTGAAAATGTTCCGGAAGGTCTGACACTTTTATATATATCTTAAATTAAAGTTAATGTAATGTACTTTAATTTGAAAAAAAAAAATTTGACCTCTGGACTTGTCTTCGTGGTGAAAGTTGACATCAAAGTTAATAAAAAATTACGATTTTTGTAAAATAATTTTTTTTTATATTTTTAACTTAATAATGCTCTAACTTTTTCAAAAATGAACATATCAATATAATTTTTTTTTATATAGATGCTTGATGTCTTTACTTATCATTTGGTATATTTTTTTTGTAAATCTGACACTTAACCTGCCCACAGGGGGGGATTTAAAATGACAACTTTTTCACAAAAAATTAACTTTTTCAACTTAACTTTTGAAAATGTTCCGGAAGGTCTGACACTTTTATATATATCTTAAATTAAAGCTAATGTAATGTACTTTAATTTGAAAAAAAAAAATTTCGTACTTTACTTTATCTTCATCGTAAAAATGGCTACCGAATGTTATTTTCATGTGAAAATTTTCGATTTTGTATTTTACATTTTTAACTTTAAAATGCTATAACTTTTTGAAAAATGTATGGATCAACACAATTTTTTTATGAGAAGTAGTATTTATATAGATCTTTCATTCGACATACANTATAATATTTTAAAATTCTTGGGAGCAAATATCATTTGATAGTGATAGAACAAAAAATTACTTTATTTTGCTCATTAATATTAATACCCCACGCAAAAATCTTAAATACAGGCCTGAACGTAACATTCAATAAAAGCCAAACAATTTGGTACTGGCAACTATCTAACTTTCCCATATGATAAAACTGGTTCGTCGTGGTGACCCATGGATAAAACTAAATGGTTCTCAAATTTTTTAGTAGATAGACAGGTAGAAGATTAGTTTGGCGGAAACGAAAAAAATTTGACCTCTGGACTTGTCTTCATGGTGAAAACGGCTACCGAATGCTATTTTTGTGTGAAAATTCTCGATTTTATAATTTACATTTTTTACTTTAAAGTTCTATAACTTTTTGAAAAATGTATGGATCAATACAATTTTTTTGAGAAATAATATGTTTTAATGATCTCATTATCATTTGACATACTATATCTTAATCAGGATATTAATAAGGAACTAGCAGATCATGTAGCTTTTGGAATAATACACCAATTTTTTAAAATTAAACACTATCTAAAGATTTGCATCGAAGCGTTTTTTTTTGATAGTGACTTTAATCACTATCAGATATCATTATACTTGATTCAACTATGCCACGTCACTACTGTGCCGCGACCCCCCTGTGCTGGGTTTTTTAAAAAAAACTTTTTTTATATCTATTTGTGTGTGCTACTACCAGTCTATAATATTCTAAATTTTTTTGTAACATGTTGCTATATAAATTATAAATTTAAAAAATAATGATATTTAGTTTCACCTGAATTTAACGATAGATATTTACAATTATAAAAAATTTTATAATGCGCTCACAATCTTTTTAACTATTTTTTTTTATTGGTTTTTTTAGTTAATGTAAATCATTAAAATTAATTGAGTTCTGCATATTTCAATTGTAGAATCCTTAAATACCAAAAGTCAATTAGAAATGATTACTATGATTTTTATTTAAGTGATCCATTACGATAAAAATGTAAAAAAAAAATTGAACTTTTCTGATAAATGTACTGTAAATAATAATTATAAAATTTCCTGATTGCATATTAATCTAAACAATTTCATTTTTTTCTATTTAATAATATCAATTTCAAACTTGTAAGTTGAGCTTAAAGTTATGGTAATAAATTTTTTTTTTTTTATTAAAACTTTCACTTTAAAGGACAAAAAAAAGTAGGTTCAAAATGATTAATTTTGACATATTAAAAATCAATAATAATTTGAAAACAATTAATTATAAAAATTATATAATATATAAGTAAAAGAATTACTAATCTGGATATAATTAAGGAAATAGAAGTTGATGTTGCTTTTGTAATTATCCACCAATTTCTTAGAATTAAACACTATCTACAGATTTGCATCGAAGCGTTTCTTATGATAGTGATTTTAATCACTGTCAGATTAAATCTATACTGGACCCAACTATGCAACGTCACCACCACTATGCCTCGACCCCACTGTGCTGGGTTTTCTAAATTTGAACCTATAAGTTACATTCTCTTAGTACAGAAAAGATTACACGAAAATGGTTAACATTGAAGTTAAAATATCGATATACTCGTATATTAATTATTTTTAGTAATAACACGCTGTCTGGAAAAATATATTTTATTGCCACCGCTATCTGTATACTTGTGTAACTTTTGATTTACATCAATATACACATTTGTTAGAGTATTTTAAACTAAAATTTTTGACTCAAAGGTTATCGTACAAATAACTTTCAAATTTAGCCACAAGTGATCAATTCATATTATATAATTTTTAGTGATAGGAATTTTCGAATATTTTTAACTATCGAATTGTTTTTTTTTAGCATAAACTATCGAATAGTTTTAAAAAATATTCGATTAGTTCTATCTAAAATTTTTATTAAGTACACTTAATTATAGTAAAAATTACTGATAGGCACATTCAAATATTTTAAACTATCGTATAACTATTCGAATTGTATTTATACAACCGAATAGTTTATTTTTGGCATAAACTATCGAATAGTTTTAAAAACTATTCGAGTATATTGTGTAACTATCGAATATTTTTTGAATCACTATCGAATAGTTCGAATAGTGGACAACTATCGAATAGTAACTATACTATTCGATTTTTCTCATCACTAATAATTTTTATAAATTCATACATTAAAGTAAACCATTACTCAAATTTATTTAAAAAATTTTATTTTTTTTTTCTATGTTAGGGGCCTGTTTAATAGTTGAGGATCTTGGTCAAAACCAAGAATCGGAAGCTACCCGACGTCTGCCCAAATATCGTCCCTATCTCCTTAAATGAGTTTTAATTAACTGAAGGAGATACAGGCAATCGTGTACCTTAGTTACAGGGGATAGATTATTAAATAAAATTAGACTATTGTTTTATGTCAACGACAAAGTAAAGTTATATTTTAGATGTTCAGTAAATATAAGTTATATGTAATGTACAATACGTCTGACCTGAATCCTAGTATAGTTGGTTAGTAGATATATCCAAGTGAGACGGAGTTGGTTGGCTATGATGACAATTGGCAATAGACGGGTCGTTGAATAAATAAGTTAAGTTATAAATAATATAAATAAGATAAAAGTAATAGTATTGAAAACTATGTCTATAACGGCCACTCAAACACAACTGCCCTTTGTTAGTTCGACGTCAGTAGCTCCGGGCTACAGACGAGTAGAATTGTCACATCAGCAACTCCCTCTATGCTAATTAATATGTTTTACGAATTAAATAAATAGAAATAAAACGTGTGTAATATAAGTGGTAAGAACATAGTAATAAATGTTCTTACAACTATTTGAAGTAGTTTTGAATTAGTGTGTTTTTAAAAGGTAGTATAATTCAACTAAAAATTTTTTAAGGTACTAACAATAACAGTAAATTAACATATTATTTGTTTTAATTCCAGTCTTGCTTTAAAAGTGTTAGTATTAACAAAACAAAAAATCAAAGATTGTATTCTTTAAATAATGTTATCATTAATATTTTTCAAGTTTACGAAAAAATTATGAGATTTTAAAAGAATTTCTATAAGGTAATTTTTATATATAAATATATATATTAATAAATACATATACATTTATTCAAGTAAAACTTGGGTATGAAATAAAAACAATAAGATTTTTCAATGCCCAGCCACAAAAATTAAAATGTTAGGAATTTAAAATAAAAACAAATAAACGTGATATTTTAACTTGTCAAAAAAAAAAAAAAAAAAAGAACATATAATTTTTTATTTTTAGTATTTTCACTTAATGCAATATTTTACATACTAAAATTTTTCAAACAAATCCAAAATGCTTAGTCTTTATGGCAATTAATAATTTATGTCTTAATATAGATCGGCTACTATATAGAGGTATATATAATCTAGATATACATGTATTTGCTGTAGGGAGATGGGAGTCATCAGCTGGTCGCATAGTTACACTGGGCATGGGTTGGAAGCCTTCTTCAGAAGCTGGTAGAGCAGGAGATCCTGTCCAAAAGTACACCTGAAAAAAAATCATTTCTAGTTCTATATTTTGACCATTATTGAAATTTAAAAACAAAATAATTGTTAAAAAAACATTAGCACAGTAGGATAGTGGCATAATTTGGAAGTGGCATAGATGATATTTGACAGTAATTAAAATCACTATCATAAGAAACACTTCAATGCAAATATGTAGATAGTAGATAGTGTTTAATTTTAAGAAATTGGTGGATTATACCAAAAGCAAAATGAATTCCTATCTCCATCATTATTTCTAATTAGTAGTTCTTTGATTTAGATGTATAATATATGAATAAATATTTATTATAGCAATTATATACAGTATAAGATTTAAAAATATACTTTTATTATTTAATTTCTCATGCTAATTTCAAGCCTGCAATTAGATTTATTGTATCACCACTAATTTTTGATATTATTACTAATTAGTTAAAAACTATAAAACAGTTTTATTTCTATTGTATCACTATCTAAACACCAAGAATTACATAGAAATTATTAATATTTCTATTAAATTGATTGATTACAATATAAATACAAAAATAAACTATAATAAGTTATTATAACGAAATTTTGGGCTTTTTTCATAAATTTACGGTTCTTAATAATTATATAAGTATCTGACCTTATATCAATCTAAACAAAACCATTTTTGAAATCTTAATAAAATTTTGCATCTAATCATATTAAATTTAAACTTTCAAGTTGAACTAAAAAAAGTTAAAAAGTCAACATTTTTAAATTATAAATTTTCATAAAAATCAACTATAAAGAACCAAAAAAATAGGTTGAACGTGACATTTTGAATCAAAATTTTTAACATATTAAAAATAAAAATTAATTTTTAAATTTAAATACTGGTACTGGTAATTACATAAATTAGTAATGTCAGTGAGCTGAGAATAAGTGATAATAAACAAAAAAAAAAAAAACACATCATAGTAAAATTAATACCTTCTTCTTAGTTTTGCATCGAACCTAAAAACTATATAATATAAAAAGTTTAATGTGTTTTACCAATCATTAAATAAAATAAAACTAACATACATTTGTATGTTAGTTTTATGTTGCAATTAAAAACAAATCTACATAATTTTAAGGGATGAATTCAAAAAGTGATAAATCAAGAAATATACGAAAGAAAAAAATTAATTTTCTTAAAATAATTATTAATTTAAAAGAAATTGTGTGTTAGCGTTAAAATAATCACAATGCAAGTTATTATTTTTATTTTTTTACCAAATCCTGACGTTCTGAAGGTGTCATCTTATCAACAATGGACCACAACCAACGCTTAAATTTAATTTGTCTATCACTAGTTGCTAATCCAGATTCATCATTAAAACTAGTATAAGATATTAATAGAGGAACATTTATATCCCCTACACCATTCAATAATAATCTTAAATCTTCAGCTGTTAGTCCATCCAACGAACTCTCTGGTATTACATCAAAAACACCAGATCTAAGGGCCTGAAATTTCAACAGTGGATTGATATGAAAAATAAATATATATTGACAGGGTTATCAGTTTATCATTGACCACATTAGATTATGTGCAAAATAAATAAACTATGGAAAAAATAATTTTTGATTTATTGTGTATACATATAATTCTTCTTGATTTATCAGCTAATAATTACTTCTTAGAATCATCTCTCATAACTTAAAAGACTGCCATATTAATGGTGACGTACATATTTAATCAACTTGTAAATAGAAAATTATTTAATTAAGAAAATAACTGGTTGATTACAACTTATGGTTCAGTATTCCAGAAGTTAATATTTTTATACCTAGTTGGGAAGAGTGAGGCTATGAAATGTCTAGTGATGAAAATAATAGTACCCACTTATCACCCGCAGTCATTATTTTAAATTGTTAATAAATTCTGAAATACTGGTCCAAAAGTTGTTATTGACTAGTCATTGTAATTAGATTATCCCTATTTTATAAGCTAGTTAAATATGTATAATAAAAACTGATCACTCGTGGCAAATATTATTTAAAATTAATACTATATTACAAATATTTATTTAAAACTAAAAAAACATTAAAAATATTTAACTCAAAAAGCCACAAAAAATTACTAAAAAATTGCATATACATATTTTGATAACAATGTTACTATTATCAAAGCTAAACACATACTGACAATCCGACCGAAAAAAAATTCCTAATATATCCTTAAAGACATATCACTAAGTAAAATTATAAAATTTGCCAGTGTACACAAGTTTAATAATGAATTTTTAGAGGGCCAATTACCAATTATATATACCAATTAATTAAATTATTCTTATTTTTTAACATTTTTATTACTTAAAATTTATTTTTAGTGTTACCTATTAAATTGCTTAAATTATGACTCCCAGATGCAACTAAAGTAACACCAAAATTCTTAATAACTCTAGTTATTCAAAATCCGAATAAATAAAATGGGTGACTTATTAGTGGTAATAAATACCACTCCCTTTCAAATTATAACGAAATTACATTTCAAATATACCCATTAAAATCTAGCCATTTCTTCTCTTATGACACCCAGTTCTTTTTTTATCAAAATCTAGTTCATTCATTGGAATATTAACTAATCTGTAAACCATACTATTTATTTAAAGGTGCCATTTTGTGTTGCCATCTGTGGTTGAGTTGTTCGAAATGTACTTGAACATGTGTCAGTTTTTCCAATAAATTTTAAATAGAGTTCCTCTTTTACTCTTTTAACTAAAAAATCCAAAATAGGCAATTTTCCTTCACTTCCTGTTCATATATGAGTTTAATCGATGGGAAAATTTTTTTTTTAGTATTGTTTAAAGACCTCCTAACTAAAAACTTTATTTATTACTGCAAAAATATCATCTACATACCTAACCCAAATTTTTGGAAAATCACCTAATGTATTTTAAATTTGTTTTGAACCTAATGAAAAGTTCTGTTAAAGATGGTGATAACGGATTTCCTATTGCTGTACCCTCAGTTAGTTCATAAAATTTATTTTGAAACTGAAAAACATTTTAACCCATACATAACTTTGTTAAATTAATAAGCGCATTTATTTTATCCTGTACTATGTTTTGTTCCTTTAGCCAGTCTTTAAGAAAACCAATTGTTATTATAATCAAAATACTCGGAAATAAGGCTACTACATCAAAAGAAATTAATCTATCATTTGGAATAGTATAACCAGATAATTTATGATCTATGTCAATATTATTTTTAACTGAAAAACTATAAAATATTTGAATAGATGAAAATACCAGCAAGTATTTAACCGAATTATATATAGGAGCATTAATATTTGACACAATAGGTCTCATATTATTTCCTGGCTTATGTATTTTTGGCAAAGCATATAGTTTAAGTATTTAAGGATTTGAAACTAATAAAAATTTGAATTTTTCTTCAATTATTAATTTTACACTATTGATAAAGTTTGTAGTTTACCTTACCATTCCACATAATGGATTCTTTATAGGGATCCTTTAGAATAAATTTGATACTCTATTAAAATTATCTTTTTTTACAGTAATACTATGAAATTTTTTTTATCTGATTTTAAATGAAAGTAGTAGTTTTTATTTTTTAAATTCTGTATTACTCATGAATGTTTTTTATTTTTACTAAAACCTCTTTTATTTACAACAGATTTTTTGTAGTTAAGTATTGGTTATTAAATTCATTTCTATAAAACCCCTATGTTCAATAGGTATATTACTATTTAAAAAATAAAGTTGACATCCCTTTAAGTTAGAAGAGATGATTCTAAGAAGTAATTATTAGCTATTAATTTATATGTAAATAAAAGAAATAAAATTTTTTTTTCAATACTATATTTACTATGCACATAATCTAATGTTAGTTGATGAAAAAGCGATCAACCTGTATAAATATATATAACTTACAAGAAATGCTTTTTCTTGAGTTTTGAACATCCTAAATTCAGCATATCTTCTAACATAATCATAGACGTTGTTTGGAGTTACTTCAATGTCTACACCACAATTTACTAGCTCCACACTACCACCTCCTTCTTCTTGACTGAGGTCAATACTATAAGACAAAAAATCATTTTATTGAATATCATTTTTTTAAAATGTATTTAGAATATTTTAAGATAGTCCCAATCTTTAGTTTTGAACTCATCGTAAAATTTAATGAAGCTATATTTATTAGTCTAAAGTTTTAAATATATTATACTGAGCATGGTAACTACCTCGGCTCAATAAGTATTGCTTAAAAGATGAACAATGCAAAAAAAGCAGTATTAGCATAAACAAATTTATTGCTGATTCATAAAAATAATGATATACCTAAGGAAAAATTTTTCAGAGACAAAAGAAAGTGAAAAATGTTTAAATATTATCTAACGACAAATTTGTTCTTTGCAAAACTCTTGTGAAAACAACTATATCTATATTAATGAAACTTTTCTAGTTTAAAACTTGATGTTTTTTTTATCCATGTTAGAATAAATATATGAAAAAAAAAAAAAGGTTTTAAGTCATGTCACTATTTTTTTCGATAGGCACTTATCTTAAAATATTTTGAATAATACAACAATAAATATAAGATTTAACAAATTTATTCTTTAAATTAATCATTATATATACCTAAAGTTTAAATCTAGAGCAGAAAACAAAGATTCTTTATCTTTAGATTCAGCATCTAACACAAGCTGCCTCAAGCTTTCATACATAACAGGATCAAAAAATGCTAAATCATGGAATCTAATTGTTCTTCCCAAAAGAATTTTGAGAACGTGGCGATTAAAATACATTGGACACAATTCATTTTGCAGTAAACATAGTCCAATCAATCTGAAATATAATAAATAAGTTAAAATAATATATTACGATAGTAAAACACATTTAATTTTTATTGTATTAGAATAATAAAGTATTAAATATAATTACCTCCCAGTATTTCTAAATGCATTAAGACGTTCATATGATGCTTTTCCTTGACGAGGTGAGTAAAATCCTTGTTTTCCAGGACAATAAAATAATGGCATGTTATCTTCTAAAGTTTCTTCAGTAGCATTTTCTTCTGGAACATTCTCTTTTACTGGAGTAGCAGCAGTTTTAGAGCCATGTTGTTCAGAAAGACTCAAAAATAAATCAACATCTTCTACAAAATATAAATATCATTTAAAAAGTTGAAAAGTGAAAAATTCGCTTTACTTACCTAGTAAACTATCTGCAGGTGGTAATGGATGAGGAACATCTACTAGTGATGGTATCTCAACAGTTTGCATAAGTAGCGCAATTGCTTCATTAACACGCATTCTTAATGCTTCTTCAGATGCTAATAATGTTAAAAGTTGAGCAGGGGACAATTCTAAAAGCATTCCAGTAATTTTACTAGCTAAACTGGGTCTAATTTGAACAACCTAAAAATTAAATTTATTTACATAATAGTATAATACTTATTGCAAAAATTAATAAAGTACTATTAAAATTTTTTTTTACTAATGAATACAGTAATTTGTTCAAATGTCCAAAAAATAAAGTAATCATCATTTTATGACTTACAGGATAACTCAAAGTTTATTACTTGTTACATAGAACAAGTTTTTGTAAAAGAAAATCAAGGGTATAGTATATTTATTGGATGAAAAATAACATCACTAATAAAAAAAGATTTACATCAATCAACATGAGAGACATTACTGACTTCTAAACATTTTTAAACAATTTTTTTTTTTGTAAAAACAGCTAACAAATTTATTTACAGAAAATTGTATGTAGCTAAGACTGAAATATATTTATACTTAATTCATTAATTGTAAAAGTTTTTCAATTTTGGTCTAAGAATTGATAAAATTTCATTTTTTACATTTTTCTTGGACATGAGTGTATACAATAATGCACAAATTTCACTAATTTTTATTTAAGTTTTGAACCCTCCAGTATAGAGAAAAATGGTTTGATTTTTTTTAAAAAAAGTATATTGGAAGAAAGGTATTATATAAAGTATTTAAAAAAAAAATTGAGAATTTTTTTAATTAACTTTGCTGTATGTTTTCACCATGAAGACAATATAAAGTTTGAAAATTTTTATTCATATTAGTGTACTAATTAAACTTCAATTTAAGATATATATAAGTGTCAAGTGTAAAATTTTTGAAAAAGTTAATTTTTTGGAAGTTGCCATTTTGAATCACCCCGTAGGCAAGCGAAGAAACAGATTAACAAAAATATATCAAATGATAGGTCAGTACCTAATGTATCTAAAATTTTTTTTGTATTGATCCATTCATTTTTAAAAAAGTTTTAAGTAAAAAAAAATATCCAAAATTACAGATTCAAAATTGTAATTGTAATTAAAATTGTAGGGGATTTCCTCTAATTACTGGGAACGAGGGAATTTTTTTCAATTTTTGAGCATAATGTCATCGGCTACACATAAATTGTGATCTTTTGACATATTGTTCATAAAAATCAGTGCAGTGAGAGCTGAGAATAAGTGGTAACATAAAAAAAAAAAAAAAAAACCATAGAAAATTAATACTTTCTCAACTTTGCATTGAAACTTTTGGTTTCACCAAATTGTTTCTTTCACAAAGCTATAATGTTATATAATCAAAAGTTTTTCATCTCTTTAGGGGAAAAAATAAGCACTATTAAAAAATATTTTGTGATCAATACATACGTTAATTTGTTCAAATGTTCAGAAAGTAAAGTTACAAATTTTCTATTGATTACAGGATAATTTTCTTTTTACTCAAAGTTTATTATTTATCATATAGAACAAGTATTTGCAAATAAATATAGTTTAAAAAAACTGAAAAACAAGTTTTTAGGCATATTGAACTAAAAAGTTAAAAATAATTTTTAAATTCAGCTTAAAACAATAATAAACAAAAAATACTAATATTATTGTGAAAAAAGAGTAGCTGCTTTATGCCATATTTTTTGTATATTGAGCGCCCAACGCTTTTTTTCACAATAATACTAGTATTTTTCGTTTATTATAGTATAAAGCTTATTTTAAAAATTATTTTTAACGTTTTAGTTCGATATGCTATAAAGCGTGTTTTTCAGTCTTTTTAAACTATATTTATTTTTCACTTTTTAGTTATTTATGACATCGCTGTTACAGTCACAGAGTATTTATTGTCAATTATCACTATCAATAGATATAATTTCTGTATTGCCAGTTAGTGTGTTTATGAACTCACAACAATGCGTTTTATTACCATTGTAAATAGAGGCTACATGTATATTTTTTTTTATGAATATCGTCATAAAATTCTGATTAACTACCTGTATTTGTATTTGTAATCCCTTATTATACATTTATATTAAATAAAAAGTTATGGAAGTTTTAAGAAAAAAAAGTGAAAAAAAAAACCCAGCACATAGAGGCAGCACAGTGGTGACGTAGTATAGATAGATCAAGTATAATGATATCTGACAGAGATTAAAATCACTATCAAAAAAAAAAAACGCTTCGATGCAAATCTTTAGATACTGTTTAATTTTAAAAAATTGGTGGACTATTACAAAAGATACATTATCTGCTAGTTCATTATTAATATCCTAATTAAGATAAAGTATGTAGAATGAAAAAGGGATTATTAAAAAATATTATTTCTCATAAAAAAATAATGTTGATCCATACACTTTTCAATATGTCATAGCATTATAAAGTTAAAAATGTAAAAAATAAAATCGAGAATTTTCATACAATAATAGCATTTGGTAGACATTTTCACCGTGAAGATAAAATAAAGTCCGAAATTTTTTTTCCGCATAATAAAGTAAATTACATTAGCTTTAATTTAAGATATATATAATAGTGTCAGACTTTCCGGAACACTTTCAAAATTTAAGTTGAAAAAGTTCTACTTTCTACATGCATTTTTTAGATTTGAACCCCCCTCGTATATAGGGAAATGGTCTGATTTAAAAAAACAGTATATCAAATGAAAGATGTATATAAATACTACTCCTCATGAAAAAATTGTACTGATCCATACATTTTTCAAAAAGTTATAGCATAATAAAGTTAAAAATGTAAAATACAAAATCGAAAATTTTCACACAAAAAAAGCATTCGGTAGCCATTTTCACCGTGAAGATATAATAAAGTCCGACATTTTTTTTTTGCATAATAAAGAATATTACATTAGCTTTAATTTAAGATATATATAAAAGTGTCAGACCTTCCGGAACATTTTCAAAAGTTAAGTTGAAAAAGTAAATTTTTTGTAAAAAAGTTGTCATTTTAAATCCCCCCTGTGGGCAGATATAGGGTCAAATTTACAAAAAAAATATACCAAATGATAGGTAAAGACATCATGCATCTATAAAAAAAAAATTATATTGATTCATACATCTTTCAAAAAGTTATAGCATTATAAAGTTAAAAATATAAAAATGAATTTTTTTACAAAAATCGTATTTTTTTTATAAACTTTGATGTCTGTTTTCACCATGAAGATAAAATAAAGTCCGAAATTTTTTTTTTGCATAATAAAGTATATTACATTAGCTTTAATTTAAGATATATATAAAAGTGTCAGACCTTCCGGAACACTTTCAAAAGTTAAGTTGAAAAAGTTCTACTTTCTATATGCATTTTTTATATTTGAAGCACCCCCATATATAGGGAAATAGTCTGATTTAAAAAAACAGCATATTCAATGAAAGATGTATATAAATACTACTTCTCATGAAAAAATTGTATTGATCCATACATTTTTTNTTATTTCTCATAAAAAAATTGTACTGATCCATAAACTTTTCAATAAGTTATAGCATTATAAATTTAAATATAATATAAATAATAAAATCGAGAATTTTCACACAAAAATAGCATTTGGTAGCCGTTTTCACCATGAAGTACAGAGGTCAAATTTTTTTTTTTCAAATTTAAGTATATTACATTAGCTTTAATTTAAGATATATATAAAAGTGTCAGACCTTCCGGAACATTTTCAAAAGTTAAGTTGAAAAAGTTAATTTTTTTTGAAAAAGTTGTCATTTTAAACCCCCCTTGTGAGCAGGTTAAGGGTTAAATTTATAAAAAAAATATAACGAAAGGTAATGATATTACACATCTATATAAAAAAGAATTATATTGATATGTTTATTTTTGAAAAAGTTATGGCACTTTTAAGTAAAAATTTTTTTCGAAAATTAGCGATTTTTAAATTTGTAATTTTTTTGGAGGTTTCCCCCATTTACGGGGAACGAGGACATTTTTTTCAATTTTGAAGGGTAATGTCTTCGACTAGATACGATTTGTGATCTTTTGACGTATCGTTGAAAGAAATCCGTTCGGTGAGAGCTGAGAAAAAGTGGTAACAGACACAAAAAAAAAAAAAAAAACACATCTTAGTAAAACCAATACCTTCTCAGCTAAAAAAAATTGAACCTTTAAATGTTTATATCTAATAATAAACAATAAAAATTTGCTTATAAATATATATAAAATTTATGATACATACGCATGTATGAGTATGAAAACCAAAAATAAAATTATACAGGAATAGTGTTACCGGCGTGTGAAGAATGGGTTACGACAGTCTAATCTCAAGGCTATAGATGACGGGATATGCAAGAATAATAATATGTGGCGCGTGGAGAGTTACAAACATACAGGTGAAACTAATATAAGAGTGTTAATAAAATGAGGGGTTGTAGCATATCTGTAGGATACCAATACAACATCAGTTACTCCTGAGGTCATGAATTATTTCCTTCTCCTCCAATTACACTCTTTATTTATACAAATAATTTCATCAACCATATCCTTAAAAAAAACTTTTAACAAATCATAAGCTGAATTATATAATCTTGAAACTTTTTGTTAATTAGTGAAATTATTTTTGCATTACTGTATACACTCATGTCCAACAAAAATGTAAAAAATGTAAATGAAATTTTATTAATTCTTAGACCAAAATTAAAAAACTTTTGCAAATTATTAAGTGTAAACATAATTCAGTCTTATGATACACACAATTTCCTGTAGGTCCCCATTTAACTTTTAAAAGTAACCCCTAACATCTACATTTAGAAATATATTTTTTTTTCAATTTGATATTTTACTATGGTTAATTTAATTAAATCAAATTTTAATTTGCGCATTTTTAAATGATTATTTTATGTAAAATGATGAGGGGTGGAAATATTCTTAATAAATTACACTGGAAATTTTTTTTTATTATAAAAGGTTAAATTAGTCATTGTCTTATACCTTAGGATACAGTCGCTCCCCAAGTTGTTGCTGGTGAGGTGTAAGATGAGAATTAGGATTTACATCAGCTGTTCCTGAATTAGGAACAAATGAACGAGCATCCACTGATAATGTTCTACGTTGATCTCGATCACTTCGTTCAGTACGTCTTGATGGTACTCGAGGTGATAAAGGAGCATGTCTAATTCTAGGAGATTCTGTACGCTCACGGTTTCTCAGACGTTGAAGTACTGTATATTGAGAATATCGTCCACCAACTTGAACAGACTCGAGATTTGGTAATTTTTCACATGACAGAATAGCCTAATTTAAACACTTTAAAATTATTAATATATCTCTTTGATGGTGTGTTCTTTTAGAAAGTACTTTTAGGTTAAACTTATTCAATAAAAATTATTTTAAATCAATTTATTTAATCAATAATATTATCAAAATAATATTTATATTGTAATACAATTTTGCAGAATTATTTCAAGACTTTTTTATAGTGTTATAATAATATAAGATATTATCAAACAAAACTAAATAGTTTAATAAAATATTTTTTAATGCTCATTAAGTTTTCCCTTAATAAATATAGGTTTTTTCAAAAAGTATATTTTTTAGTAATTAATGGTTTTTTTATCTATTAAGTTATACTTTACTTCTGCCAAAGCTGTGTAGAAAGACCTAGCGACACCTGAACCTTCTCCAGGCTCATCTTTAAATGTGACTTTTACACGATTGACTGCCAAACAGGGTTGAGAACTCGATGTTCTTCGATGATAAGAATTGTATTGGTTGTTTAACTCTTTAAATGTCATTAGAATTAATTGATTGCGATCACGTTCCAACTAGGATTGTTTAAAATTTTTATATTTCAACATAATTTTTTTTATTAATTTTATAAATAAAATTTTACTTTGGATAATGTGAGATCTCGATTTTGTTGATTTCTTAATTTTTCCATATCTCTTCGAAATTTGGCTTCTTTAACTGGAAATCCTCCGAGTTCTGATACAACTGATCCAGGTTCTAAGCCTACATCTTCCATAAATACACGTCCAAATAAATCTAAAGTCAATCGCCAACGACCAAGCAACAAATCATGAGATACACTTTCACCTAGTCTATTTCCTCTAAAAATTTACATAAATTTTAACATGAATATTACTGCGCTTAAAGTGGATTTATTATTTTAAATATTTAAATGTAAGATTAAATACAAAATTACTTGTTAATTTGTTTTGAAATTTCAGAATTTGAATTACGACTGTCTTCATTAATATCTGAATTAGATTTTGTTAAAACATTTGAAGAATTCTACAAAAAAAAATTTTTTTTTTAAGGTTACATAAAAACTTTCAATTTTTAAGAAATTTGTAAAAAATTAATTTTTTACTGAAAATATAATGAACATATAACAGATAATTCCCAAAATATTAAACAGTTTAGATAATTAACAGATTCATTTGATTTTTCTTAAATAAAAAAAATGATTGATAAAGCAATAATTATTTTAATACCATTTACAAGTAGGTTTACTATAAGAAATTGCTTACAGAAGTAGATGAATTGCTACCAGGAGCACGCACAATGACACTTTTAAGTACAGAAGATGTAGTTTCTATGCCATAGCTAGTAGGTGGAACAATTATAATATCCCTATTTCTTTTTGAAGAATCTGCTAAAATATAAAATTTTTAAATGAATATTACTAAGAATTTGCAACAATAGCTGATTTATTATTAATAATATTGCCCTATATACTATTTTACTAATATTAATTATTTGATATGTGTCTATTGACTATCAAATAAAAGATATTGACGATAAATATTTATTTTGTTTTTATCAAAATGACTATTGATTGAAATACAATTTTCCTGATAGTTATAGGTTCATTTTATACATGATTTTGTAACTTTTTTTAAATAATGGCTATTGAAAAATTGATTTATATTGAGATTATTACATTGATTTTTTAAGTTATTAAGAGATAAATATTTAATTTTTTTTTTTAATAGTAATTATTATTTAAAAATAAATATATGTAAATAATTTTGATTAACAACATATACAGAGAGAAACAGAATTTAACCAGAATAATTAAGAAAAGACACTAAGAATTTTGTCTTAGCTACACTAACAACATAAAATCTAAGCAATATTAACTGATATCTTAGGGTTATATTTTAATTTCAAAATAAGTCTGAAAAAGTAATGGAGACACTACATTTTTCAGACTATGTAGGTTTTAAAAAAAATTCAGTTATTAACAGTTAAAAACATCAAGGTTTCATAAAACTCTGAATATGAAAAATTCATAATCTGCATAAAAAATAATGCAAGATCTTAATCTAATACTTGTTGCAGACTTTGATTACATACTAATATCAAAAAATTAAAATAAAAAAAAAATATTTCTCACTAATACAAGATTTGTCTGAAATGACAATGTTATTATAAAAAACAAATGAAATATGTTCAGATAATTTTACTTTAAGGTTCAGAAAAACTTTATTTTTGGTATCAATGAGTAAACTGTAATATTATTTATTAACATATCAACTAACAGTCAGAGTTGTGTTGAGATATTTCAGGTGTATCACTACTGTTGCAATATGAAGGGACTTCATTTGACTGTTCAATAACTTTTGGCCGGACAGAGAGATCTTCAGGTTCAGTATCTTGATCTAAAATTATAGTAGTAGATAGTAGTAATAAAAAATAATATTATATTTCTGAGAGTACCAAAGAAATACATTATGGGTTGTTTTCATAAATCTTTTTTTTTCATATAATTTTACATAAAAAAACAACACAGTGGGGTTTTTGAATTTTTGACCTCGTTGGTCGTCTTGAAATATGTACAAAATAGCAGATAAAAAAAAATAATAAATAAACTTTAACTTTAATGTTAAATTAAAACTGTTAACATCATAAGTATTGTAAGAGTGTAAAAACACAGTAACACAGTGAGTGTGCACCAAATGGGACAAGTATAGATATCTGACAGTGATTAAAATCACTATCATAAAAAACACTTCTAGGCAAATCTGTAGAGTTTAATTTTCAGAAGAAATTGTGTCAATTATTCCAAAAGCAATATCAACTCTTATTTCCTACATTATTTTCTGATTTGATGTTTAATGATTTATTATTTAAATATTAATAAGTTATTAATGTATTTTTTATGGAGAAATTATAAAAAATTATAATGTAGTTGCATATTTTGTTAACTTTATGGCTAATATATAATAAAATTATAAATATGGATTTATCAAAAAAAAACTTAAATATTTTCTATATTTATATTTTTTTTTATGAAATAGATGGGGGCAAGGAGGATACTTATGCCTACTTATATTTGACTATACCGCTTGACCTGTAATATAGGGATAAATAATTGCAAAAAAAAAAAAAAAATTGATCTAGAAATTTATAAAAACACAAAAAATGGTCAATATTTTATACAAAAGTAATATTTTTGTTTAAATTCATGGCCATTTACATACAGGAGACATGTAATTGAAACAATTTTTTGTTTAACTCATAATATGTAACACAAGATTTAATTTAACATATGTTTAAACAATGAACTATTTTTTGGAATATTTACAAAAATTAAGTGGAAAAAGTAGCTATTATGAATTCCCCCAGTGACCAGATGAAGGGTCATATTTCCAAAAAATTTATATAATATGATAGGGAAGTACCTAAATTATTTATAAATAAAAATTTGTTTAAATTCATCAATTTTTAAAAAAAGCTATATCAGTTTAAAAGAAAAAAATTAAAAAATATTGGAATTTACAGATTATAACTATTGTAATTTTTTGACGGATTTTTATAATTTTTAAGAAACAAGAGAATTTTTTTGCAATTTTTGAGGTTAATGTTTTCAACTGGATACAATTTGCAATATATAAAGTATTATTAAAAGTCAAGTGAAAGTAAAGAAAAAGGGGCGACGGAATTTAAAAAAAAGTAAAAATATTTAGTGAGCCTGATAAGTATTAAATTATTTATGTTCAGTGAATGTAATGCACATGTACCTAATACTGTAATTGTACAAATACTCCTATGAGAATAAAATAAGCTAGTTCAATGTTTTGAAGCTTTCGTGGATTGTCGTATTGCTTGAAATGTTTACGAATGTATCCACGTTTTGAGTTATGAGCTTCCATTATTTTTGGGAAACAAGGGGAAAATGTTCAATTTTTGAGGGCAATGTCTTTAGCTAGATATGGTTTGTAATATTTTAACATATCATTGTGAAAAATCAGTCCTGTGAGAACTGAGAAAAGTAGTGACAGACACACACACACAAAAATAAACATATAACAGTAAAATTAATACCTTCTCATATTTGCATCAAAAGCTAAAAATTAGAATTAGATTTTCCTGACATTTTATTATAGTAAATTCTCATTGTTTGCCTATTTCAAATCATCATAATAGATCTAGCAAAAATTTTATTTATTTAAAGCTTATTAGTTATAATTTGAAGATATTATTAAATTTCATACTATCACGTGATTATAATTATTTTATGCAACTCAAAGGTTCTAGGTTTTTTTTTGCAAGTTTAAATTGACCACAAAATCAATAATTAAAAATATATCATTCAAAATCCTATCCAAAATTTAAAGTTATTTAATAAATTAAAATCAAATTATTTAATGTTAATATTTTTTCAACATTTTTTTTTAATTGAAAAAAAAATGGGCTATATTAAATTATTAAAAAAAAGTTCTTTTTTAAAAATCAAAATAAATAGTACAGAAATATTTCTTTTAGATCTAGCCCTCTTTCAAATAATATATTTAAATATTAGTTTACTTACTTTTCCTTTCTTGTTCTTTAGTTGTTTGTTCATTATTATTATCAATACGACCTGATAAACTTAGTCTTGATGGTAAACCTTCATTAGAACCATCCAAAGGAGCTGCAAAAATAATTTAGTAAAATGTTGAGAAGTATTCATAACTTTTATTTTTAATAAAAATAATACCACTAATTTTTGGCGAACCAAACATGTCTTCTTTTCTAGCATTTGGCTGCAACAATTGAGGCTGGTCTGCTAAGGGCATTGCTTGAGTCATTGGTGTTTCAAACGGATCAGGAGGAGGACACCCTAAGCATAAAGTAGAATCTGATCTTTGGAAGAAAGCATGACGTCGACCTCGAATATTTGAATCCATATCAACAAATCTAAGATTAGATGATGTATTTATGTTTGTAACTGAACTATTGATTTCTTCATCATTTTCTTCATTATCATTTTCATCCTATATATTTTCAATAAATAAAACAGAATATGTATTTTTGAAATTTCTTACATATTTTATGTATTGTTGTTGGACATTTTTCAAAATTTTTAATATTAAATCATAAAATAATGGAGTATGAGTCCTATACCGTATAGTATGGTAAAATGTTATGACCCTGTCAGACTATAATATAAAATAAAATGTAAATTAAATCAAAATTTTCTATTAACCTATTAAAAGAGAATTTTGGTTTTCAAATAAAATTTTTTTATTCTTTTACCTACAATTATGTTTTTATCCTAAATAGGTAGTACTATCAACATTTTATTATGATTTAGCCTTTCACTTTCTTGTTCTAGTACATATTTATGATAAATATAAAATAATAATTATCATAACATTAATTTCTTGGATTAATTTTGATTATTATTAGTTTCAAGTACAAATATCTAGTACAAAGTATTCAAGTACAAATTTTCACTTGCCTAAAACTAAAAATATTTCAAAGTATATGGAAGACATTTATGACTTTTTGTTTTTCTTTTATTACTCCTTATATGTTTTAATAATAATGTTGATTAAAAATAAAGATTTTACATGGTGATTCATTAAACGCTAGCTACTCGATTTTTTCTCATAAAATAATAATTATGTTAAGAAAATTATATAATAAGAATTGATCAATTGTGGCTAATATTATGTAAAATCAAAAATTTATTTAAAATATTTAACTCAAAAAACCACAAAATATATTAAAAAATCACAAATACTTATTTCAAGAATAATATCACTAACATCAGCTCTAAACACATATAGAATGTGCCACTTTAAAATATTGACTGTAAGTGAAATACAGGTATGACAATATTTATCAGTTGAAAATTTTTGGCAAACCTCTTTTCCTGCCTATGTATAAAACTGTCAATAACTTTCAAGTTACTAGTCCAAAAGTTAACAACAAAGCATTATATTAATTAAAATATAACCTATATTTAAAGCTAGTTAAAAATATATATTACCATTTAATAATATATGTCAATGCCCTTTTAATGTATAAGGGATGAACTGAAAAAACCTAACAAATAATAAATCGAGAAATATATAAAATTAAAAAAATATCAAAAGTAATTATTTTAATATAATTACTATTTAAATCGAGTGACTTATATAAAAAGGATCATCCTATCTACAATAATTTTATAACTTTTTATAATTTCTCCGTAATAATTACAATACTAAATGCAATCACTTTAAGTATTTAATCATGTATCATAATTATAAAACTTGTAAACAGGATATAATTAAAAAAAAAATTGTCTATTTTCTTTTGGTAAAATCTTAAAAATTTTTTCTAAAAATTAAACACTAAATATAGATTCACTATTAAACAATTTTTATGATGAAATTTTTTATTTCTGTATAAAAGTATAGAAATCATCTATACTCATGTTGAATCTACTATCCTGATTTTTTTTTAAATTTATGTTGTAATATAATATAACCTCAATTTAACTTATAATTGATAAGGAATGAATTAAAAAAGTAATTAATAACTGATAAATAAAAAAAATTATGTCACTAAATAATATCAAAAATAATTTTCTTATCATAAATATTAGTGATGGGAATTATAAAATAGGAACTATCGAACTATTCAATAGTCATTCAAAAAATATTCGAATAGTAAAAATATTCAATAGTTACACAATATATTCGAATAGTTTTAAAAACTATTTGATAGTATATCCTAAAAATAAACTATTCGTTCATATAAAAACAATTCAAATAGTTATTTAAATACTATAAGATAGTTTAAAATATTCGAAATTGCCCATCACTAATAAATATACTTTAAGAGAAATCGAGTGGCTAGTAATAAAAGAATCACTCTTTATACTTGTTACCTGATCTATATTCCATGCTTCATTTTCAACAGTTTCTGAGATAATAGGAGGTGTTATTGCTTGACAATTTACAGCTGCTGTATCAGCACGCATATAATATACAAGAGCATCCAAAACATAAGCAACATGTTTTAATGACGAAACATCTAAAACTGGTAATGAATCTCCATGTTCATTACTATGAGCTCTCATTAAAGACAGACAGTAAGAAATGAACTCACGGCGAGGCTCAACAGCAGAGTTACTATTGCTAGAACCTGACATTTTAATAGTAAAAAATAAGAATATAAATTACAATAACTTTTAAATTACCTGAAGATGAAGCGGATATAGGATTAGAAGAATTATTAGAATGTAATGGATGTCTTGGATGTTGAGGATCTGATGATTGAGTTAGTGAAGCACCAAATCTAAGTTGAGCTTCTGTTGAATCCATAATTGCCATTAACCAATCCCAAGTTGGTTTCAATGATTTTTCAATAATATTCTATAACAAATGAAATATTTAAAATTATAAATTTATGTCATGGTATGTTTATGTTTAAAAGTTTGTTGTTAAATATTTGTTCAAGTATATGTATATACATATTGTAGAACAATGAAAATGGTAAAACATGTTTTTAATTTATATAGATTATAATTGTTAATATTTACATATGTATAGTCTTACTTGTAAGTTATAAGTATCTTGAGCTGAAATGCGTATAGGAATTGGCAAAGCTGGTGGATCATTTATAGAAGTAACTAATAAATCAGCTATTTGTCTAATCACTACTGCAAATGCTCGAGCTAAACTGGAAGCAGTAGTAGCTATAGTGATTGAGTCATTTAAGCCGGCTGCAGCAGATGCAACAGCAGCAGCAGCAGCAGCTGCTGCATTATTGCTTCCGCTACCAGAATTGCTAGTATTATTACTGACTGCTGCAACAGCTGAACGTCTTAATGATGATGGGTCAATAAAAACCAAAGAATTTCCTGATGCAACTCTAAAACCTAGGCAACAAAGAATAGTAATTATAGTGATATAACAAAAGGCACCAAAATTGAGAAAATTATCAAGTTTGAGTAAAAATTTCAAGTGATGTGACAAAATTATTAATTATAAGGCAAAAAGTAAGAAATCAAAAATAAATTTGGACTTGAATTATAAAATATGGATGTATTTTAAAAATAAGTTATAACTAGAAAATATTAAGATGAAAAACTTAATTTAAATACTTGAAATTATAATATCGAAACATAAGGCCAGAAATAGAAATTTACGCTTTTCGCATTTATAGTGTCTATCAATTTTTTTAAATGATTTCTTTTTTAATTAAATGATTATTTAAAAAAATATTACTATTTTACATAACTTAAAAATAATTTTCATTTTACCTGTTGCTGTTCTAGTAGTTGGATCTCTATTTCTAATAGCCCATTGCATGGATTGTGGAGCTAAATTATTTCTATGTCCTTGACCAGAAGTAGTACTGTAAAATTTTTAAACATTAATATTAAAAATAATAAAAATGATGAATAAAAATTATTTTATGCAAGTATATTACGCTCTTCTTTCTAACTGATCTTCTGATACAAGAAATTCTTCAGTGTCCAACTCATCTGTTTCACCTGCTTCAGATTCTTCCCCATCTTCTTGTTGAGTAGATTCTCCTGATTCATCATCAGTGTCTGATCCAGCTGTAGCACCAGTTTGAACACTTCTTTGACCACCACCATCTTGATTACTCTGATCAGAATCTGAATCTGTTTCAACAAGCATATCTTCAGTATCAGATTCTGGATCAACTGCACCCTGTTGATTTGTATCTGGAATACTATTTGGTCCCAAATCAACACGATTGTCAAGTCCATTACCCATAACATCTTCAGTGTCACTTCCATCTCCATCATTATCTAATAAAAGACGATTTAACACATAATTAATAAAAATATCTAAAAATTGCTTTTAAAATTATAATAAATATTAATTTTAAACAATTATAATACAAAAGTAAGCAATAATAACCAATAAAACATCTTCTTTTTCCTTAATCCCAACTATTGGGGTAGGCTAATAAAACATAAAAACATTTTTAATATTACACAAAAAAACTATAAAATATAAATAAAATTTAAGTTAAATCCTAACAGTGAAACATAAATGACTTAATTTTAATTCTATTTTATGTGAAATCTAAAATGACTTCATTACCTGCTGACAAGAAGATTAACTGGGAACATAGATAAATTATTCCTATTATGTGGATTAATAAAAAAAAGAACATTTTTGATCTTAGTATGAGATAAATTGAATTAAATAAATATATTAGGATAATCAATAAACCCAGATAAATTTTTTTTTAAAATGAAGAGAACACCATATACAACTTATATGGAAATTAATATTTCCAAATTAAGGAACTATAAAATTATTACTTAATTATTATGAAAAAGGCGATTTTGTATTAAAATTGGAAAAATTGAGATGACTGATGAGCAGACAGGATGTTGATTAACTTTTTATACAAAATTTAATTTAATTTAATTATTATTATTAATTTAATCTTACAGCAAAAGCTGTATGTGGTGTACATTGATGATGATATCAAATGTTTAGCTGATAAAAGAAAGGCATGCCCATAAGAATATGAATGAAAATAAGATCAATCTTGTAAAAATGACTCTGGCAATTACTACATGTAACTAAAATACAGTGTTTTATAACTAATGCACGGCTAATCACGAACTTTGTTGAGGTGGTCAGGATAACTAAGTATTTTGAGCTAAACACCAAACCGTTAGTGCTACTAACTTAATATAGTTATGTAGTGTCTACATTAGTACCCAACACTTCAATAGTCCAATTTAAATTACAGGTTTTAACATCTTTAATAACTTTAATGCATTCCCTGACCGCACTATATACTTACTCTGTGTATTAAAATGCTTGTAACAAAATAAGTATTAATAATAAAGTTGACATCAACCCACTAACATTTTTTAAAGAGCTAAAAATAGCTATTTTTTTAGTTTTTAAGTTAGCTGTAGTAAAAGGAATACATGAAGAGGATAATGTTCAATGACTAAGTAACTCCAAAGAAGAATTATGTAGAAACTATTTAAGTAAAAATATAATTAAGTAATTGGATTAATGTAGTATTCAAAACTCATTGAATAAATTATTTTTAAGAATATTTTTCTATTATTAAATTATAATTTTATGTATCAAATTTTATTCTTAATAATTCATCTTTAAAAAATACGAAGTTTATAATTAACAGGTAATTTTGAAATAAGACTTAATATATTAGGTATACCTAAAACAGCTTGAGATATAATGTATATTTGACTATAAATAATGACTTACTATCTGCCATTTCATCCTCTAATTCTATGTCAATTTGTGGTTGATCATTCTGAGATTGTCCACGATCATTAGATCCTTCTATTTGATCACTTGCACTTAAATTATTAGGTGCCATAGGTTCGACAAAAAAAATTTCTTCATAACTCTAAATATTATTCTTTTTTATTGACATCTGTACTTTTATTCTAATTTATAGGATAATATTACTTGTTGATCTGGATTCGAATTGGATAAGGTAAATGGAGCAGTAGGTCTTGCAACACCAAGTCGGACTGGAGCAATTAAACTTTCAGCTGTTTCACAAAGTTCTTCAATTGAAAGTTTCATCATTGATTGAAATATACGCCGAGCGCGAGCAAATGGAGATGATAAATTTCCAAGCCTAAATTAATTGGTGTTTTATTTATTTTTGTTTACAATAGAAATATATAGAATCAAAAACGTTATAAAGTGGAACCTCGAAAAACCGTGTTTTGATTATTCATGTTTGTGATTAACCGTGCTCACTCTTCCAAAAATTAAAAAATAGTTATGAATTGTACATACTATAAATAGTTATAGTAAAAAATTTTATATTATACATAATATACAATATCGACAAATGTATTAATGACATTTTTGACGATAACAATAAGAAGATAAACAATATTGTAGATTACTATAAATTGTATTTATCGTATCACTTTCAGTATACTTCAAGTGTTTGCAATAGCCGTTCTGATGTAATATAATTATGAGTGTTTAACAAAAACATATCGTTCTTTCTCTTGAGAAAAAAGTGTTGATTATTAACAGAGCTGAAGATTGTGGTGAAAGTGTACAAAAACTTGCGGACGAGTTTGGCATGGGTCAGCAGACAGTTCGTGACTTAATCAAACAAAAAATTGAAATTTTCAAGTTCATATCTTGTGCAGAATTATCAGCTACAAGAAAAAACTATGAAAAAGTCATCATTATCTGATATAAAATCTGCTCTTTTTAAATGGTTTAAACAGAAGCGAATTCCAATTTCTGGGACAATGGTTTGTAAAAAAAGCAAAATTGTTTCATGAAAATTTGAAAATAGAGGAAAAATTTAAGGCGGGTTATTTAGATTCAAAACTCGTCATGGTATAAGACAGCTGGACATTAAAGGCGAATATCTAAGTGGAGATTTGACTGCTGATTAAACACTGTTTAATGACAAAATCAATTCATTGCTTTCAAAATTGAACCTGTCTCCTGAACAAGTGTACAACAACGCAGATGAATCAGGTCTATTCTGGAAAATGTTACTCTAAAAACACTTTAAGTAAAATTAAAACTATATTAAAAATATTATTAATTTAAAAAAAAAAAAAACTAAAAAATATTAAAAATATTAAACTCAAAAGCCACAAAAAAATTAATGAAAAGTCGCGGATACGTATTTCGGAAACAATGTTACCATTATCAACGCTAAACCTGTCAGTATGTGTTTAGCGTTGATAATGGTAACATTGTTTCCGAAATACGTATCCGCGACTTTTCATTAATTTTTTTGTGGCTTTTGAGTTTAATATTTTTAATATTTTTTAGTTTTTTTTTTTTTTAAATTAATAATATTTTTAATATAGTTTTAATTTTACTTAATTAATTAGCCACAAGTTTTATTATACTAAAAACACTTGCTGCGCAATCTGAAAAATCAACTCCTAGACATAAATCTAGCAAAGAACGGCTAACATTCAAATGCAATTGGTACACATAAGATCAAATTAACTGTAATTTGAAAAGCTAAAAAACCAAGATCTTTTAAAGGAACCGAAATGAAATATTTTCCATGTGATTATTACCACCACCCAAAAGCTTGGATGAACAAGGTTATTTTTAGTGAATAATATTTCAACGATTTTGTACCATCTGTAAAAAAACTTCAGGATGAAAAAGGTATACCAAAAAAAGCTGTTCTTCTGCTTGATAATTCTCCTTCATACCCCTCAGAATCTACCCTGAAAACAATAGATGGTCAAATTTTTGTCTACTATCTACCACCAAACGTAACTTCCTTAATACAGCCAATGGATCAAGGCATGATTTCCTGTTTGAAACGAAGATACAAAAAAATATTTGTTCGTTATCTCTTACAAGAAAATTGTTTTGATTCAATGAAAGAACTTTAGAAAAAGTGGACCATAAAACATGCCATTTTTACAGTATGTAATGCTTGGGAAAATGTACCTGCAAGTACATTAAGACTTTCTTGGGCGAAAATTTTAGATCAAGACTATAATGACAAAGAAAATGTCGAAGATACAGATATAGAAGCTTGTCTTGAACTTGCTACATCTATTTCAGATTTTACTAACATTGATAAAGACAATATTGTTGATTGGCAAGCAAAAAGATCATAACTAAGAGGGATTTGGGTGTTTATGTGACTTTGACATAGCAGCTTGTTAAGCACTATCTACCTCACAAAAGCTTGATTCTTTTTCTGAGAGTGATAATGAAAGTGAGAGTTTTGAAAAAATACAGAAAAGCCAAGCAATGGAAGCAATTGATGTCCTCTTGAACAGGAAAATTTCAACTTCCATGACGTTATTGGTTTAAGAAAAATAAGAAGCGAAGTGAGGAAAATTATTTCAAACCAAAAAAAAAAAACAAAGGTTGATCACTTCATACTTTAAGTTAATAACTTGTTATGTATGTATAATTTGTATGGATATATAATATTATTATACTTCTTATTCTAATTAAATTAGGTTTCAAAGTTTCATTATTATAAAAAGTCTCGATCAACCGTGGTTTTCATTTATCCGTGTGACCCGCTTCCCACAATTACCCTGGATAATCGAGGTTCCACTGTATATAGAACACTATTTTATCATATTAATTTTCTTAATGTATTTCATATATTACATACTTTGTTTTTATTAAATATTAAATAACATTATTATATTAAAAGAAAAATTAAATTACTGATAAAATAAAATACACATGCATGTTAATAAGATACACTTGGGTTCTAGCTAAATTTTTTTCTATCCTCAGAAAATTATATTATTTAATAAAAATTGTAACACATTCATAAAAAAATAGTGAGGATTCAATTAAAACAATCAAAATTTAGTTTCAGAAAAATTCAAGTTTTAAAATATATCATTTCAAATGTCTATAAAATAAAATAAATGTTAAATAGGCATAAATTTAAAGAAAAATTCTTTTAAAGAGAAGAGTTTAAAGAATTATCATCTGATCAAAACTGTATGTAAAAATTCTAACATTTAATATTGATATTTATCTCTTTTCCGCTTCTATTCTAATAAATTCTAAGTAAACAAGTGTCATACCCAAAATTGATCACAGTAAATTATTAATGCTACACCTCTCTCCTATTTTTCATCAAAAAATGTTTTCATATAAATGTACAGATTTAAAATTAATAAATGTATTTTTATGGATCATTTATTATAAGAAAAAATGAATTATAACAGTAAATTTTTTAAAAATTAAATGAGAATCTTTTTTTTTTTATTATTATTATTCAATGAAGATATATCTAAATAAAATGATGAGTGATTGATAATTAATATTGTATTATAATTTTCAAGATAGAAGTATGGCTAAAACATTTCAAACTGACCTAAATTTAATTATTAGTAAACACATTTTTTATTAAATGATAAAAAATAAATTTATTATTTCTTTTTCATAGCCTTTATCCCAGCTCTTTTGGGTCGACCACCCTTATCCTAAACTTCCACTTGAAACGATCCCTCACATCATTTACACACACATCAGCCATCTTCATATCGTATTCAATAACATCCCTCAATCTCTTTTTTGGTCTTCATTGAACATTTATTTCCACAATCTTGTCCACAATTGAAGCTACACCTATACTCTCTCTCCTTTTATATGTTCATTCCTTATCTTATCATCTCTAGTCATTCCACTCATCCATCTAAGCATTCTCATCTATGCTGTATTTCCTAGTCAAACGCCCAACACTCTAAACCATACTTCATAGCTGGTTTCACTACAGACTTATAGAACTTATCTTTCAGTCTCATTGGAATTCTTATATCACATAACACATCATATAATTCTCTCCACTTTACCCACATACACTTAATCCTGTGTTTTACATCCTCGTCATTACCACTGTTTTTTTTGTACAACTGATCCTAAATACTTAAAAATGTTCATATCTCCCATCACGTCCTCACTTTATGGGCACTGATCTCTTCACTTCATTTGCCTCGTGTTCTTGCTTTGTTTTACTCCTACCTATTATTAAATTCAAGAGCTGATCTCCAAATCTCTAGCCATTTATTAATTTCTTCCCTATTTAATATTAGCATTTATAGTAATTTTAAATTAAAACTTTTCTTACATGCGCCGTTTATTATTTTGAGGTGCTAACTCAACACTATAAACAACAAATACTCGTATAACAGATCGAATGAAACGCCTCGCTATCATATTGACTTCAGTTAAATTAGACATAGGATTGTGAAGTTCTTTAACAATAGTTGCAACTATAGCATCAACCATCTAAAAAAATCATATAAAAAATGTTTACTTTTATATAGTTATTTAAAATTATCATTTACCAAATTAGAATTAGCTAATACATCAGCATTGCATTTAAAAAGTAAACAGTGCATAAATTTGTCTAAAAATGTTGTTCCAGATTGATTTTTTAAACATTGTTGATCAGATGATTTGTTTTCAGCATCATTTTTAACTCCAGACATAATCATAGCTTTAACAGCATGCCAATCGTTCAATAATCTTTCAAGAGCTTTTCTACTAAAACGAGGTGGTTCTAAATCGTGATCTGGCATATCCATTTCTATAAATTTTTTTAATTAAATTTTACTTAAATTACAACCATTAACTTAGCATATTTTTTTTAGTTTTATTGTTACCAATATCAGATGAAGGTGTTTTTCTAGATGCTGCTCTTTGCCTAGAAGATCTATTATATTGCCTTTGTTCATTTGTCTGCCGCCCAACAGTTTGTACTAAAAATAACAATATGCTCTCCCCCCTAAATTGAAATTTTTAATAATTCAATTCTCATATTAATAAATAACAATTATAAAAAAATGAATACCTCGAATTATAATGAGTGACTAAATCAGTTTCATTGATTAATCTACTTAATAGTTGAAATCTAGAAACTTGGTGACCTTGTACTAATGCTTTGCAACGACATTTTTCCCAACAGTCACAGTATGCTGTAGGAGATGTTCTTTTTAATTTGCAATCATGTCCTCTATGACAGACTCTAGCACATTCTGTACAGCAACATAATGAACCTGTTAAACCACAAGTGCGGCATTCAAATATATCCTAAAACAAAATCCAAAATTTTCAATCATTCAATAATTATTTTCAATAATCATGTTTAAATATTGAAAAAAATTTAAATTGCGTTCATAAAATAAATATAAAAAAACGAGTATGTGTTATAAGTATGCGCAAATAAAGTGAAACTTCATTTACAGTCCTTCAACTAATAGAATAATATTCAGTTTATATTGGAATAAAATAAAAAAATACACCTAAAATCTTAATTTTCAATAATATAATATTATTATATAATAACTGAAATAACTTATGTAAGTTTTTGATTAGACATAATGAATATATTATGTGAAAATTGTATATATATATATGTTTAATTATTTATTTATATAAATGTAATACCCATAAATTTAATTAATTATATATATTTATAAAAACGGTAGCACAGTGGGGTCGCGGCATAGTGGAGACATTGCATAGTAGGGTCCAGTATAGATTTAATCTGACAGTGATTAAAATCACTATCATAAGAAACGCTTCGATGCAAATCTGTAGATAGTGTTTAATTTTAAAAAATTGATGGATAATTGCAAAAGCAACATCAACTTCTATTAAAATAAAATACAAAACCCATAATTATCATACAAAAATAGTATATTTTTCAATATGGTA